ACATGAGATATGTTATAAAAATGATGGCAAATTAATGGTGTTAAGCAATTGTTAAAAATTATGACTATAAAAAAATTAAGACTAAAGAACTTAAACGTAATTACTTTATTTAAAGAATTATTTAACTTTATTTATTCATTCATTTACTTCTAATTGACCAGAGAGAGAGAGAGAGAGAAAGAAAGTGAGAAAGTAAGCCACCAGGTCCAGGACTCTAATGGTGGTCGGCCAAGTGGGAGTGTCAGCACCTTAACCACCACGCTACTTGCTGGTCCCAAAAATAATTATTAAGTTAAAGCAAAAAGAAGAGTACTTACACTCTATGTTCGACATACAGATTACAATTTTATATCATTTTTTCTAATTGGCAGAAGGCACCTGTGCTTGCCAGAAACAGTGACAGAGACAGAGACAGAGAAAGAGAGAGAGAGACCACTCCCCAGTAGGGCATGCTCATGCTGCAATCCCTCCTCCTGTACCGTCAGGATTCAGATGTTTTCCAAGCTGCTGGGTCAGGATTTGAACCATGGTCAGCCATGTGGGGTCCTGGTTCCTTCACCACTAGGCTACTGAACCTTCCTGGTAACATTATTTTTATTTTTTAAAGAATTTTGAAAAAATTTAATTATTTTTTATTTAATTTTATTTATTATTTTAAATTTGTTACAGGTTACATATACTCACCAGAGAGAGACAGAGAATGAGAAAGTGAGAAAACAAGCCTCCAAGTCCAGCACCTTAGCGACCACACCACCTGCTGGCCCCTACAATTTTATTTATTTATTTAATAACCAACTCATTTTATTTATTTATTTATTTATTGGAGCGGTTTCTGCTATAGGGTGCATGCGCTTGCCAGAAAGACAGACAGAGACAGGGACAGAAAGTGAGAAATCAACCTCCAGGGGGGATGGCCACGCCGAAATCCCTTCTCCTCTATTTTCCTCTTGGGATCTTGAGCACACACGCACGCACGTGCACCTGGCGTTAGTTTAAGCCAGCAGGTCTGGGACTGGAATTGCGGTCGACTACATGAGAGTCCAGCGACATAGCCATTATGCCAACTGCTGGTCCCCTAATTTTATTTTAATTATTATTTTTATCTTTAAATTTGACAAGAAAAAAAAATCAACAAGAAAGAGGCAGAGAAAGAGGGGGAGAAATGAGAAACCAAGTCGGCCAGTCTGAGACTTGAATCACCATGAGCCATGTGGAAGTCTGGCACCTTAATCACTATGCCACCTGCTGGCCCCTGCAATTTTATTTTTAAAAATCTGCACATGGGACCAGCTGGTGGCCCACCTGGTGGCATAGTGGTTAAGATGTTGGACTCCCATGTGGCCAACCACAGTTTGAGTCCTGGACCTGGTAGCTTGATTTCTCACTTTCCTTTCTGTTGCTCTCTGGTCAAATTAAAATAACAAAAATAATACTAATAAATGGAATTAAATAAATAAATAATTATTTTAAAAATCTTTTAAAAAATCTGCACAGATCAGCAGGTGGTGTAGTGATTAAGGTACTGGACTCCCACATGACTGACTGTGGTTCAAGTCTCAGACCCAGTGGCTTGCTTTTTTACTCTCTTTCTCTCTCTCTGGTGAGCATACATGCCCTGCAGCAAATTAAAAAATAGTAATAATAACAATAAATAATATTAAATCTAAAAATCTTTAAAAAGAAAAAATGCACAGAAAAAAGGTTAGAAGGCAATAACTTCTCTTTCTAAATAGCGGGAATTATTTTACTGCTTTTAATAGTTAACAATGAGCATGTCTTGGTATTATTATCAGAAAATACATATTTTTAAAAGAATCATCAAGGTCCAGCCAGTGGAATGGTGGGCTATCTGTGCAGTTGAGGTCCTGACCTCTGGCCCTGAGAGACACGCCAGATGTGGTGTGTACATGCACCCTAAAAATCCTTAGAGGAGAAATGGAGAAGGGACTGCGGAGTGACCATGCGGCCCCACACGGGTGGTGCTTTGCCTCATCTCCTCTGGTGAGGGCTCAGCCCTCTGGTGAATTAAAAATAAAATAGAAAAAGAAAAAGAAATCATCAGTTTTCTGTCATGTAAAATACAATGATGGGGTCAATTGTAGCCGGGTGCCATTTGTCCCTCCTCTGAGCCTCAGCGTCCCCATCTATAAAATGGAGACCAGCACACAAGATGAGAGCTCCTTCCTAGTGGGAATATTCAAAGTAGCTGTAAAGAGGCGATCTGCATTTAAAAAACTGGCCAGGCTCCTCCTAGCAAAAACAGAGTTGAAGCAGGATCCTGCGGGAATGGAGGATTCGGATTGCTGCTGAGGAAGAAAAGGGACAGAGGAGAGGAGCTAGAATATTCCCGGGCAGAGTTGGAGACAAGCCTGATGGGAAGATCTATTCTAGGCAGGGGGGAGGGGTGATAACGCTGAGCACTGAGGTCTGCGAAGGAGGTGGGGTACTTTAGGGTCACGAGGTAGGTTCCATCTGGAGGTGCCAGGGCCGGAAGTACCTTGAGCACCCTGGGTAACCGTAAAGCGAAACATGTCAGGGACTGGCAGTGCCATATCCCTGTGGGAGTAGTTCCCTTATACTGAAGGCCTAAACCCCGATAGGGGACACCAGCGTGCCCCTGGTCTTGCCCCCAGCAGAGTGGTCCCCTTGCACACACGGTGCTCGGTAATTACCTAAGGCGAAGGTAATGGGAAAGAGCGCTCATCTCTGGGCCTCAACGTACTCATCGTTGGGTGGGGGCCGGGTGGAGAGTGACCAGGACCGAGGTGCAGTGGGAAGCCCACACAGCACTGCAGGGTGGCGGTGCTAGCCGGCTGTGGCAGGTCCGCACGCAGGTGTCCGCGGGCTGGCATCACCCCGACTGGGTTGTGCCTGTAAGCCAGCTTCCCAAGCCCACTGCCGCTGCGTGTCGCTTCCAGCTAGAACCCAGGTGGCTGCCATCGAGCTGGACGGGTCTGGTTGGAACAGAAACCCGACGCCCGACCCGGTTCAGGGTCCGCAGGATGCTATTCACTTCCCCGCCAAGGCTTTTCAAGCCCGACGGCGCTTCGGGCCCCGGGACCCCAGAATCGCCGCAGGAGTTCTGGGGCAGGGGCGCCAAGGAGGGGCCCAGTCCGCAGGCAGCTCGGCGGGT